GGGCATCTTTAGCAGCTGAGAACACCCTCCAGCTGACAAGTCAGCACAGAAACATGCACCTCAGTTCTAAATTGCTTGGATTTGAATTTGGCTAAGAACTTGAATGCATCTGGAAGCTTATTTTCCCTCAGAGCCCCCGGAAGCAAACCCAGGCTGGCAGAGCCCATTACTTTGGGTTCATGAGACCCTAAGCAGAGGATCTAGGTTAGGCACTTTGCGACTAGACTTCTGACTGTGAAACAAGAAATGAATATCATTTTAAGCTGCTGAGTTTGTGGTGATTTGTTGTGACAATGACAGAGTTGCTTTCAGAGCCGACCAGATATGGATGCTTCTATCTCCTGGGTGGGCCGGATATAGGCTCTGGGCTCTGCCTTAGTCCTTATGTAATAAGATATTTTCCTCATATCTAAGTTACCCAATTATTTATTATCCTACTTGCTGCCACCATAATATTGATTGATGTTACTTCACAAAAATATTTTCTAATAAGGCAAGCACTTGAAAATTTAACCCTTTCCTGCCATAAAACCTTAGATAGCATAAAGCTTTAGCGAGTTTCGGTCCATCTATTCTTGCTATCTGACAATATAACATAAATGTAAGGTAAAATTGCTGCCTGGTCATGTGGTGATTTTACAAAAGATACAAGATTTCATGAAGTTAGTGAAAGTAACATTGAGACTTCTTAAGTGATAATCTTGAGAATTAGTCCATATCATAATGAAGGAAGGAAGAAATCAGAAAGAATGATTGTAGTAAGTAATTCACTGTAAGTAATTACTTTTCCTGGTACTAATGGCTAATTATGTGCAGTTTACCAGCACTTTCTCTGGTGTTTCCAGTACCCCTGGATTAAATTTTCAATTTATCCTTTACATAAATCCTTTCATCTTCCAGTGAACCAGGATGCTGTCTATAAAGCCTAGCTCCTTGAATGGATTCTTACTACCATTTTGACTACAAAACTTCGCCATTACTGCTTTCTGATAGTTACTGCTGTCCCAGTGGTTAAACTGGACCTCCTCATATCAGTGATCACCTGAATTAGACATGGCCTTACCATATCCTGTAGACCCTGCTGCAGATGCCAGTGGCCCTCTTTCTCAGGCCAGTGGGGATAATTGCACATACACCATACCCAATAAGCTCTGGGCCAAGCACTGCTAGGTTCCAGGTGCTTTTTCTTTTCCCACCTATCCCTAAGTTACCAAGACCCTAGAATGTCTTACACGGGGGCAATGTTATTACCAATGTGTCATTTTGGATTTTTTTTTTTAATTTTCATATTATTTAAAGCTACATTTCCTTGTAAATAATTCTTTCTTTGATGCTCCTAGAATGTTTTCTAAAGATATAAACAATTCTTGTTGCAACAAAACCCGAGAGCTTTTCCTTAAGTGTTCTCCCCTGTCTACTCTCAATGTCATCTGGGCACAGGGCCACCAGAAGACAAGGCTGGCCTCCTTTAAAGCTTGTGGGGCTCGGGCTTCCCCCGTGGCGCAGCGGTTGAGCGCTGGGTTAGCGAAGCTGCCCGCAGTCTCTGCAGCGCCGGTTCGATCCCCAGCTGCTCCCCGGCCACCGGAGGAGGGTCCCACATGGCGCGCAGACCTCTCCTGCCGCCCGCTGCTCCCCTCAGCAGTGTACTTCGGTCCTTCTGCCTATTCTGTTCCCCGCTCTGGCTCTGGTGAATTCTCTCACCCTCCCGCGCTTCTGACTGTACCCAGTGCTTGTATAAATAAATAAATAAATCTTAAAAAAAAAAAAAAAAGAATCTTTAAAAAAAAAAAAATAAAGCTTGTGGGGCTCATTTGACTAACAGCTGGCCAATGGGAAATAAAATCTGCTCAATTTGCAGAAATTGTCCTTATTGGGAGAAATTCCCTTTGCTCTCTGCTTTTTCTCCTTTTTACTGAGTGGGATATGAACATGGTGACTGGAGCTGGATCACCCATCAAGGCCACAAGATAGAAACATAGGACAGGAACCTGGCATTCCTATTTATTTTGTAACAGCTAATCTAGCCCTAGATTTCCATCGTTTTCATAAGATACACATAAATATATAAGAAACACATAAGCTACCGTGGATGTGTTTTCTGTTACTCATAGCCAAATTTAACCCTAAATTAATATACTCTGTAATGCTAACTTTCTAGTCTATATGACCCTGAATTGAATAACAAATAGGATATATTAACATTTTTATTTTAAGAGGAAAAGTTTCCCAGAGTCCTGTTATTCGGACACATCTATTTTCTAATAGTGCCTTTATTATTTCAATTAGGGAGATTTATTTTTTGGAGTTAAATTTATTTTGAAAAGTTTTTATGCTAACATTGTAACTAGAATGGTTATGTACATTATTCTATGACTGATTTAGAGTTCCTAAATTCTAATTTTTTTCAGTTTATTTATAACTTCCTCTCTCCATCCCATCCTCCTTCCATGCCTCCCTCCTTCCTTCCTTCCTTTGATGCTTCTGCTCCTTTTCTCCTCTTCCTTACCCAGCTTCCTCCTCCTTCACCCTCTCCATATAGTGATGAAACTTCTTTTTGTCTCTTTTAAGGGAATCTCTTAAAAAAACATGTTTGTGAATAAATACCTGTGAGACTCCCATTTCAGCATTTTCACCTACCCCCTTGAGAACCTTTGCGTGTACTGGCAAAGACCCTAACCATAAGTGTACATTGCCAGGCTATTTATAAGTGAAGGTTGTTGTTATCCATTCACTATGTGTGTGTGTATGTGTGTATGTTTAGTAATACTAGGTGGAGCACCAGGAAAGATTTCTTCCATTTGTATTTCTGAATACCTCAAAGAAATATTCATTTGTTTTTTGAGAAGAACAATAGAGAGAAATAGCCTCTGAGCATGGGCCAAAGTGCCATGTCCTATTTTTTCTTTATTTTTTAAAAAGATTTATTTAAGCATACAAGAACTGGGGTAGAGGCCAGAGGTATGAGGGCATGAGAGGATTCACCAGAGACAGAGTGGGGAACAGAATAGGCAGATCAACTGAAATACACTGCTGAGGGGAGCGGCGGATGAGATAGGAGAGGTCTGCTGTTTCATGTGGGTAGCTCCCTGGCTGGGGATTGAACTCGCGCTGCAGTGACTGTGGATAGCTTCATAAGTGCTGCGTCTTAATCCCTTGTGCCATCAGGGAGGCCCACCATGTCCTGTTTTTTCATCCTTCAATTGTTAAGGCCTAGGGAAGGGTCTGCTACATGGTAGACAGTGTGCTTAGATCACTGTTACCTTGTTTGAGACTTGAGGGAAAGCTAAGAGAGCATGACTAGTATTTCTTTCGGGAACACTGTATTTATTACTCCATGTGTCTATGTGTGTGACCTTGTACTAAAGATACCAGTCAATAAATACAGTAGTCGATATTCTTAATAATGACTTTGTAAATATCATAAAAAGCTTCTCATTTGGATGGTTACTTCTGTTATTAACATTTGGTTTTAAAAAATGAAGATATAGCATTAAACCATTTTTCAGAGATAAATTTTCTATAGAGATACTAACTTTGTAAGAGATCGCCTTGTAACTTTCTGATCATCTACCTTGGCTACAGGAAAAAAAGTTGAAAATACCTTGTGTAACTGTGGATCATGTATCCTCATCAACTTAGTCTCATTTATTTTTGCTAGATCTTTCAAGACAACTTGAGTGCTCAAAGTCTCTGAAATTCCAGCATTCTATGTAGCTACCTGTGTCCCTTGATTATTAGATAAAAGGTCAAAAACTTACATTAGAGTGAGAAAGTTGTTCAAAGAGAATAGAAAATTGCTTTCACAAAGAACAGGAAAAGAAACTCATATTCAGTTCTCTGATGGTCTGCCCTACTTTCACCCCTGATCCTAGGAGAGAGAGTGGAAGAAGTGAGGTGAAACTAGTGATTTAATTTAATTTTTTAAAATCAGATTTTATTTTGGTCATTCATTCTTTTATATTTTTAATCCCATTCATTTCCTTTTTTTTTATTGTAGTGAAAACATTTAATGTGAGATACAACCTGACATTTTTTCAAGTCCTTAATACAGTGTTAGATATAGGCACAATGTTGCACAGCAAATTTCTAGAATAATCATCTTTAATAACTGAAATTGTATATCCTAGTAGATAGTAAATAGTTGCATACTATGTATGCAACTCTCTTCCTTCCCCCAGATCCTGGCAAGCACCTTTCTACTCTCTATTCCTGATTTTGACTATTTTAGATTCTTATGTAAATCTAAATTGTCATACAATAATTGTCCTTCTGTTTCTGGCTTATTTTACTTAGCGTAATAGCCTCCAACTCTATATTGTCAAATAGCAACATTCCTTCTTTTTGAAGGCTGAATGGTATTCAATTTTTTGTAGTGCAGGTATGTTTATTTATCATCTTAGCTTTCATTTTTAGGCATTCTTTTAAACATATGGCATCTTAGGGAATACTGAGACTTACCTACATTTTGTATCTGCCATACAAATGAAGATACATATGTGTTCATTAAATCTAATAGAAATTAATCACACCATGACCTTTTTTTTTTTTTAAAAAGAGAGAATTTAAAAAAATATAATGATTGTGGGAATTATTGCAAAGATCTGGCTTTGGATTTTTTAAGGCCACATTATTTAACTTACCTTCCTAAGAGTACTACTTAGGAAGTAGTATAGTTTAGGGCAAGGGTGTGACTTCTAAAATTCTTTAGGCTTATAACAATTTGAGATCAAATAATTATTTGGAAACCACCATCTAAAATCATTTATTAGGATGACTTAAACATTATCTGTGAACTTTTTTGACTACTAATTACAAGGTTACTCATGGAAAATAATATCTTACATAATATTTAAAGATTCACTGCTCTCTAATTTAAGATGGCAAAGTGAATATGATTTTTAAAAGTATACTTTTCTTAACACAACTGTGTGCTTTGCTTTATGTATACAATTATGAACTTATGACAATGTCTTATGTTTTAATTGATCATATTTTTCCAGATAGATGATTATGGAATTCACCTTCTTGTTGTGATAATGATACCTTGATACCCCAGCCTACCAAGGTTTCCCACCTGTGGGTAAGAATTTAATTTTTTTATTGCTTCCAGAAAAGTATTATTATGGCCACAATGGAAGTACTTTATAAGAACTATGTTTTAAAAATTATAACTGTGTTGATATCTAATAATAGGTGCTTTGAAATACTGAGGTTCAAAATGTTTAAGATGCTTAATTTCATAAAAATGATCATTTTCTTAATCTGTTTTCTGTCATCTTTAAGTTCTGTTTTTCCAGTTTTATTGTGAAATAATTTACATATATTACTTGTATATATTTTGGATTTATAGCATGCTGGTTCGAGAATGTTTTACCCAACATTATTTAGTTATTGTGTTGGTGTGAACAGAAAAAAAGTCCCTGCTGACATTGGATAGAAGGAAGTTATTTAAGGACCTGAGTTTTTTATATATTGTTCCACTTAAAGTTGCAGGTTCCAAGAGTCTGTCATCAACATTAGGTGATGAATTACTGTATGTGATTAATGTGTTAATTTATTATTCCCTAAATTCTACCACTATATGACTCATCATTAACTGACACAGCAGTTAGAATTGTTCATAAGTATCCCCCAAAGTTTTAATCAATACTATATTTTTCTACTTTTCTGTAGGTAGCAAGATGGAGTGGGAAGAAACGATTGCAGTTCTTTTTCTCACTTTTCTTCAATTTCACATTTACTAAGGCCTAAAGCACTTCACTGCTGTCACATGAGCCTACTGACCTCCTTTTCTGGAAGAAAAAAAATGACACTAAATATAACTTGGGAACAGACTTAACAATCCCCCTCATATTTCTCAGATGAGGTGGAAATTTGTGTTCCTATACTTTTCTTGGGATTTAAAGTAAGGGTTTTCAGAATTTAAGAATCTCATGTGTGATGAAGAAGGCACCATATATACCAAAAGGTAGGTTTTTACACTTCATCTCTTCTACTCTTGAGGGTTCTTGATAGTTTTGTAGCTCCAGAAGGACATCTCAGTTGTGATTTCAGTGCTGATTGTGATGGCAGGCATGAGCAGTGTCATGCCTGCTGGGAGAATTGTCCAAATAAGAGTTTGTTTAATTGATTCCTACCTTCCCCAGTAACTGTAAGCTCCTTGAAGTCTGGATTGTGTCTTTCTCATTCATATGGCTCACATTGTCAATGTCCAGCACCGTCCTAACAGAGTATGTGCTGAGTCATTTTTTTTTTCCTGGGTGAATAAATGATTTTAAGAACAAACTGCAGAGGTTCCCTTGAACTCTCCAGAATTGTCCCTTCTAATAATAGTATCAAATGAGAATATCAAAATAAAAACATACAGGAAGCTGTGCTTTGTCATAAAAATCTTTTTTTTACATTTCAGCTTATATATAAATGAAATGTTTTTCCAATAAGAAATAACCAACCAAGAAAAATCAAATTAGCAATATTTAGAAGAATAACACTACTACATATAGATGGATTCCTTTTAGCTTTATGTGTAAAACTCAGACATTTGATAAGATATATCACTGTAGAAATCTTATTTACTTCTAGTGCTGTTTACTTTGAAACAACTATTCCTCTCTGTAGGCCCCCAAAAGAACATACATAAAACTTTATGGAATTTATAGTCACTTTAGATATTATCATGAGGTTTTAACTACTACAGATGTTAGCTGTGTTATTCATTATTATTAATTTTTAAATTGAAGTACCTTGGTTTGCATCCTTATTAGTGTTTTGTAAGTATAGGATCTCTGCCATCATTTGTAGTCATTTTAGTGCTCTGAAGCATCCATGGTCCTCCATAATAGTCCATTGTCCTCTCTCCCCCTCCCCTCCTATTTTGACCCCTCTTTGCCTCCCCTTCTGGATGCCTTAGTGCTATGGTCAGCTTTCAAGGATTGGTTTTATATTTTGTCTTTGTTTAATCATTTGTTTGGTTTCTCTATATTTCAGTATTTATCTTTCTCCTTCTGGCTCATTTCACTTAGCACAATTCCTTCCAGCTCCATCCATGTGGCTGAAAATGATGTGAGTTGATCTTTTTTTGATTGCTGAGTAATATTCCATTGTGTAATATTCATAACTTGTGTAATATTCCATAACTTTTTGACTCATTTATCTGTTTGGGGCATTCCATATCTTGGCTAGTGTCAATAATGCTACAATAAACATAGGTTTGCAGGTTTCCTTTTGAATTAGTGTTTTTGTATTTTTTGAGTAGATACCTAGTAGTGGAATTGCTTGGTTATATGGCAGATCCTTTTTTAGTCTTTTAAGAAGCCTCCATACTATTTCCAATGGGCCTGGACCACTTTACATCCCCACCAACAGTGTAAGTATGTTCCTTTTCCTCCACATCCTTGCCAGAACTTGTTTCTTGTCCTTTTGATATGGGCCATTCTCACAGGTGTGAGGGGTGGTATCTCATTGTGGTTTTGATTGGTATTTCCCTGATGATAATTGAAGGTGAACATTTTTTCATGTGCCTGTTGGCCATCTTGATGTCTTCTTTGGAGAAGAGCCTATTTAGTTTCTGCCCATTTTTGATTGGGTTATTTGTTTTCTCTTTGTTGAATTGTTTGGGTTCTTTGTAGATCTTGGCTTGGATAGCAATCCCTTGTTAAATGTATGTTTTTGTGCAAATATTTTCTCCCATTCAGTAGAGTGATTCTTCATTTTAATTACAGTCTCTTCACTGTGTGAAAGCTTTTTATTTGATGTAGTCCCAATTGTTTGTATTCTCTTGTTTTCTTTGTTACTGGGGAAGAATCCACAAAGATATATCTGAAGATTATTTAATGATGTGTTTTACCTATTTTTTTCTATATATTTTATGGTTTCGGGTCTTACATCTAAATCTTTTATCCACTTGGAGATGATTTTTTGTGTACGGTATGAGATAGTGGTTTCATTTCATTCTTTTGCATGTGGCTATCCAATTTTCATTTGCTTCCATATGATAAGTCATTTTAAAGTTGATAAAGTAAACAAAACAGAGGAAAAATCTGCCTTTATTGGCAGGTTCATCTGAAAGAAACCCTCAACTGTTATGGTCTCATGGTAATAGCATTTATGAAACAAAATCTCTTTGATTTTCAAATTCCCTTTGGTGAAAAATCTTTAATTATCTTCCTATTCAGTTTGCCTGGCCAGTTTTTGCTCATGGTGTCAAGATCACTTACTAAAAATTCCTATCAGCAATTAATATGCTTAGCTTATCTTTCCAAAGTGAGGAACTTTCTCCCCTTTTAATTTTTTTCCTTTCATACACATCTTACAAACAAGCACTCAGAAAATTTTATATAAAGCTGCTTTTTAGAAAAAAATATACTATACAATAGTTTTCTTCTTTAGTGTTGTTAAATGAAAATAAATATTGGAATATTGAGATAAGAACAAGATAAATGTTTTCTACTTTAAGGTGATAAGTAATCACTTAACAATTGAGCATGGGAAGTGTGAAACCCAGCAAATCTCTAAAGAAATTTCCTTTTGCAATGAGTTCTTCTCTCCTCATTTGTAATTTTCCATATAGGCTAAACTTAATAAGACCTTGGGGGCCTCCCTGTTGGCTTAGGGGTTTTCTCAGTGCTATCAAGCTATCACCAGTCACTATGGCCTGATTCAATCCCCGGCCAGGGAGCTAACCCACATGGGGCAGCAGACCTCTCCTGTCTTACACACCCCCCTTGCTGCTCCCCTCAATAGTGTATTTTTTTAATCTCGCTCTCTCTCTCTTTTTTTTTAAAGATTCGTTTATTTATACAAGAACTGGGGTACAGGCCAGATGTGCTGGAGGGTGCGAGGATTCACCAGGGACAGAGCAGGAAGCAGAACAGGCAGACTGACTGAAATACACTGCTGAGGGGAGCAGTGGGCGAGATAGGAGAGGTCTGCCCCACCATGTAGGTATCTCTGCAGCCGGTGGGGATCAAAGGCTGTGGGCAGCTTCACAATGCTGTGCTCAACCACCTGCGCCACCAGGGAGGTCAGCAGTGTATTTCAATAGATCCACTTGTTCTGCTCCCCACTCTGTCTCTGGTGAATCCTCTCACTTCCCCCCTCACAGCACCTCTGGCCTAGACCCCAGCTCTTATATCCATAAATAAATAAAAATTAATCTTTAAAAAACAAACAAAAAACCTTAATAAGGTCTTGATGTTACATGTGAAAGATGAAATTATGTAAGTATTTTGTTAGGCCATGTTGCTCAAGACAAACCTTCCAGCTGAGAAATGAGAGTCACTTGTTCCCTATGTCCTTAATGCTGATGGCAAATCCAAACTAAAACTGAAAGGTTGGCAACTTGTAGTTTACAGGAATTTTTAAAAGTGCATGGAAGAAATAAAGTTTTTTATTACTCATAAAAACTGAGTTGAGTACATAAGGGAAAAAATAGTAAAATAAAAAAAATCAGAGGGAAAAAAATCTACCATCATATTGGTAAATCCTTCACAGGAACCTGTAATCCTTTGTTTGGTGTTTCTGAAGGAGTCACTAACTAACAAGCTTATTAGAATATCAAGTTCTGGCATAAGGACAGGGCCTTGTCACAAGTTCCTGACAGGTGTGTGATCTTGGCCCTCACTCCAGTGCTGCTGTGGAACTCAATTGCTATTGTTATGTGCAAAAGGAAATTTGCTGGTACGGAAAAAAAAAATTAAGATCTCACCTAATTTATGGGAAAAAAATCATCTAAGTTCTGATTGTTAGCTGTGACTAATTTACAGGCTTTATTTATTCAGTGTATTCACTCATTGCTTTCACATGTTAATAGATATCCACCCACTATTCTTTCTGAATTGCATCTTAACAAGATTATGCTCCTCTTCTAATTTATTGAACTAGCATGGAATATATTTATATAAAAATTAGCTTCTTAAATACTTCCTTGATGAAAAACATAGCTGTTGTAATTTTATTATGAATTTTAATCAGGGAAAAAAATGACCTTTGAAATTTTCTTCTGCCCATTTTATATTTGTGTGTGTGTGTGCTACTTTCTCTTTATATGATTAGAAGTCTTTGTGATTTAATTAGAGTTTATATAGAAAACATGTGACTGGACAGTAAAAGTTTGTTTTGAAAGAAAAATCTTAAGGAAACAGTTAATAAATTAATATGACTAACAGAAGACCTGTTTCCTCTGAAAATATTAATTCTTCCAGGATAGTGCATCTATTTCAGAGTAAATACATTCTGGTTTGCTTTTTGGTTTAGAAAAAAATCCTCTGAAGCGAATCCAAAAAAACTCTGTGCTTAGTTTCTTTTGATGGAAGGTTCCAAGCCTTTTGGGGATCCACTGTAATTGTTGCCAGTCTAACAAGTACCTCTTCATACCATACCCAAAATACGGTCTTGGAGATGGTCCTTTGATAAGGGGAACCAAGTTTCTGACTGTGGCTGTTTGAAGATTATTAAAGTCTGTGTGCTGGAAGAAAAGGTTTCAATAAATGAGTGTCTCTCAAACTTAAATTGAGGAGTGAAGGGGAGGTCAAAACTGTTCCTTGATTCCATTAGGGTCCTTTACTGGGTATGAAATTAAATTGACAATTTAAGTAAATGAAGACCTGAAGAAGTGGTTAATCTTAGTGTTTTTATGGCAGGCTCCATGATTTCATATGATAAGGCAAAGAATAAGAGGTAAGTGCAGGCAACTGAAGGAAACTTAGCCAGTCTGCTCATGCAATGTCTTCTTTGTGTCTCTTTGTCTTGGAGTGAAGGATGTTCCTTTCTTCTCTATTTAAGGAGCAGACCTCTCACATGAGGGTCATATGATAACTTCAAAAAAGGTCTAAGAGTCCTTTATGCAACTTTTACATTCTCAAATGTAAAAGTGTTCTTTTTAGCTACAAATGTCTAGTGTTCCAACGTGCCATATTTTGGAATAATGTGTCCTGAATCCCATTAAAGTAATGCACTTGATGTTGTTGT